TTTCCCTAGGGTACAAGCTAGGCCCCCTGGGAAGTTCCTCCCCAACCTGAGAACTGCTGATGGAAGGTCTCCACAGAAATTGCTCAGCAGAAAAGACCTTTTCACTGATGTCGTTTCGCACGTTTAACGCTGGGTGCCGGCTATTTTGTTGGGCCTGCCCTTTGTTGGCAGTGCTTCCTTTGGAGCCTTTTCTGTTGCGTTAATTAAGTAGGATGCGTGCCTTAATGTATTTGTATACAGTTATGGAATAACTGTTGTTCTATATGTTACTGCCAACTGTCACTCAGCAGAAAAGACCTTTTCACTGATGTCGTTTCGCACGTTTAACGCTGGGTGCCGGCTATTTTGTTGGGCCTGCCCTTTGTTGGCAGTGCTTCCTTTGGAGCCTTTTCTGTTGCGTTAATTAAGTAGGATGCGTGCCTTAATGTATTTGTATACAGTTATGGAATAACTGTTGTTCTATATGTTACTGCCAACTGTCAGTACATACACTAGTACCTCTGCTCTGCGTGAAACAAAATGACTTTAAGTTCATGTCCTGCCCTGCAATAGCAGTTTTGGTACAGGTTTAGAAATGGCAAATGTAAGATGCATAGCTCACATGCAATAGTTCTTATACAAAGTGTAATTTAAACCTGAAGTTTCAAAAACTAATTGCAGCTATTAATTTGATTATACTGTATCTTTCTCAGTTATAAAACTCTTTGTGTTAGCAAATGACCTAAGCAAGAAAACGCTGAGCAAAGCTCTGTGCTTTAATGGTACCCTGTGTATTGTGCAGGGTTGTTCCAATAAGACCCTACAATAGCTACGTATTAAGAATGCCATTGAGACCTTCTTGTTTTTAATAAATCAGGGTCATAAAGATGGGAAAAGATCCTGCTGGAAAGCTGTGTTCTCTTCCCTACTACCCATTTTAGCGTTTCACTACTTTTTGAAAAACGATCATAATAAGCATTTACATTGGGGTTGCTTGTTATATTAAATGGAAACGTTTTGTTTTGTTTATAGATCAGAAAAGTGACTGAAGAAAAAAACGTGAACAAACACGAATTTAACTTTGAAAAAGTAAGTCACCAGAATCTAATCTCAACGCTTTAGTGTGCAGGTGGCTGTATTTATGTGCTTGGGAAAGCTACAGCGGGACCAAAGAGAAACAATTCCAGAAAAGGTTATCTTTCGCAGGTGAGGATTTCCTAATACATAAGTTTGGCTGCATGCCGTTCTGGAGGAGTGTGCTGGCTGTTGGGAACAGCTCTTTACGAACAGAGGCATGTTACAACTCTGTGGCCTTTATTTCTGATTTTTCAGTGATAATTTGAGGAGGATCATTGTGTGTTAGGTGTGTAAAGTGTGTAAAGCTATGTGGGTACCCATAATATATAGCGAATGCTGATTTAGGCCCATGATGTTAATTTTGGTATTTCTGATCTCGCATGGCGGGGGGAGAAGCGTATTGGTATATATTTTTCAAAGAGCAGTTGGTTTTTATTTTTTCATTTGTCTTTTGGTTCGAAGTTGTTCTTATAGAACTCACGTTAGGCTTCTTAGATAGTGAATTGGTTTCAAATTTGTGCGGGTTATTTTATATGCCTGACCCCTGCTCAGGAAAGTGATGTGATCCAGTGAAATCTGGTGACTGGGTGTGGCGTTCTCTGCTGCTGAAAACAGTGGGGATTTAATCGCTACCTTGGAAAAGGTTACGAATTCACCACCGATTCTGCCAAGGTCTTCCTGTGTATTGTGAACGAGACATCCTGTGTAGTCAAACCACTTCAGCATCTGCACGTCCAGGCTTCTCACTGGTGAAGTGCTCTGTGGTCAAGTAATGAGAACGCTCTGTAAACGTTGGGTGTTGTTGGTAGCGTGTTTTATTGTTGTTCTCTGTGCAGCACTATGATTCGTTTTAATACAGAATAGGTCTTTTCCACGTGTTCAGTTTTATGTGAAATAAGGAGAGTCAAATATTGTCACCCAGACATCCTCACTGTCCAGAGATGAGACAGTGGTTAACCGTTTGGCAGTATAGGTCTAAACTCAGTGAGTTTTATTTTGTACTTTCAGGTACTATCTGAGGCTTCTTTGGGGGTACAAATTTGTTTCAGTCTGTCAAGCATTGTTTCACGCAGGTTGGACAATTATAAAATGCTTTCAGTTTTCTGTAATGTTTTAGGCTCGTTTGGAAGTGCACAAGTTTGGAATCAGTGGCTATGAGAAGCAGGAGCAACGCATGTGGGAACAGGAACGTGCTATCATGCTGGGAGCCAAGGTAATTGTTGCTTGTTTTGTGGCAGGAGATGACCCAGCTGTTTTGATACAGACAAGTAGTAAAAAACCACAGTGGGCGTTTGGCCCTAGTTTTTTAAAAAGATGAGCTCTCCTTCCTTGCCCCTTCTGTGACCTCGTCCTTATTTTTTCTGTTTCGGCCCTATTTTCTGTTCAGTCTCACCTGTTTTCTGTAGAAATCTGGAAAACTAGTACGTTTGTGTTATCAGAGATGTTGCTTAGGTGAAATAAGACAGATTGGGATGAAAATCGACATTTATTTATTTTTATTCAGACCATCCAAACCTAAACGACTGGAGGAGGGGCTTTCTTGTTAAGCTTTCTAAAGCTTCACCTTCCCCAGCAAGTTAAGGACAGAGAAAGGTTTTCAGTTTTATTTACCGTCAGTAGTGTAAAGAAGACAACAGAGTAGAAAACTTTTTTTTTTTTTTGAGATGGGTTTTTTTTAAGGGCTCTGTGTATAGGAAACCTTATAGGCCTGTTACCCCCATCAAAATGCCCCCAACTCTATTGCCCCCATCAAAAAAAGACATGGTTTCAGTGTGATCTACCTTATATCCCTCTAGTCACTTCCATTCCCCCTAAAGGGAAAAAACTGGGGTTTTTTTCCTTTTTTTTCCTGGAGGGCAGGAGTTGTTTGTTGCTTGGTTGTTTTTTTTTTTTTAACCCTCTGTGAAAAATAATTTCCGTGCAGGCATGTGTATATTTGATGAACCTATTTGAACATTTCACCAGTGATACCACTCCTGATCTTTATTGCAGCCCCCCAAAAAAGAACATGTGAACTACAAGACTTACCAAGAGAAAATGAAAGAGAAGAAAACAACGGAGGATGATAATAATGGAAAGGTTTGTGTGAAATGTCTCTATAAAAAGACAGCATGTAAGAGCTAGTCCAAGAGCCTGACAGATGATGCCTGAGGCACAGGAGGGGTGCCTGAGCTCGACGCCTACTGCTCCTCATAGTCTATCCCTCCTAGAATTAATCTCATCAGTAAAAGCTGGTTGTGTGCAATATGAAGGATACAGAATTAGGCCTTTATGGTGCTACATTTCACTGCCTCATCCTTTGAAGCTGATAGACTGACTGCACAACATCAGCAGTGTTTTTTTTCCTTGCCTCTTAAAACAAAACAAAATACTCCTTCAATTATTATTTGATACACGTTATCAAACCGCAGAGAGCCAGATCTTCAGCTGGGTTTGTATCAGCACAATTCCATCTAGGATCTTCCTCATTATTTCAAGCAAGGGTGAAGTTTGTGTTGCAACCATCTCGCGTGGCCCGTCTGGCTCATGGTGTGCTCCTTCCTCCTCAAGGAGCCCGTTGATGTAGCTGGGAGCAGGCTGCGAGGCAGGGTAATTGCTCTATCAGCCTGTTCCCTGCCACCACCTTTTCCAGGGGACCTACTTTTCCTCTGTCACATGACTGAAAGTAACACGCAGCAAACAACCAAACACAGCCAAACCATGTCCTTTGACAGGTACGCTCAGCCAGGTCACTAGGCTGGTAAGAAGTCAATCTTTTGACCTGACAATCTGTCATGTACCCAAAACACAGGCCTCTCCCCTTGTGCAACCGGACTTATGCCCCCTCGCATGGCAGGGGTAGCATCTTGGTCATGAAAGGGCTGTACTTTGAATAAGGTGACAGGAAGGGCTCTGAGGCTGGGGCTCTGCAGTGCCACCGTAATGAGTTGTATCACTTGTCCTGTCAGGTCTCCCACCCTGTTTTAAATGCTTTGTGTGCTTTGTGTGCGGATGGTTGTTTAGCCAAGATACTCTACTCCTTTTCCATTAAAATATGTATCTTTAAAAACAGAAACATAAAGGTGATTCTCTTAAGAAGAAGAAGAAGAAAGAACAGAAGGAGAGGTGAGCCATCTTAACATGGTTAAAATTACCTTGCTTCTGTTTAAGCCTTCCCAGTGTGTGGCCCCTGGGTAAGTATGCCCAGTCTTATACCAAAAGTCACGCAAATAAGAATGGAAGGAACTTTTCAAGCTGCAGAAGAACTCTTAGTTGCAAAACTGAGACCTTGCTCTGTGTCTAACAGTTTTAAAGGCTTTAGTTACGTGGCTTAATTGAAGATATGTCAGTTCTGCCCTGACATGTCTAAGACTGCACCTGGCAGGGAGATGATGGAAATCCCTGTGTGTGGACCCAGGATGTGGCACGTGTCCATTTTACTCTGAGCATTTGCCCTGAGAAATAATTTTGGCAAAACAGAAGCTGCAACAGAGGCTTGAAGGGTAAAGTGGCATTCTTAATTATAGTGTAGCTGGTTCACTGAAATCTCTTCCTTATCTTTTTTCTCTGTCTGAAAGTCTGTGTTCTCTAACTTTTTTTTATGTAATTCATCCTGTAATTTGTTGCTAATTTTGAATGGCTATGCAGGTAATTAGGATTATTATCTGCTATAATTTGGTATTGCTTAATACCAAATACTGGTTGCGTAAATAGGTAACATTTTTCCACCATATTGAACATTTTGGGGAGTTTCTGGTCTTTCTCTTAATTCCTTTCTTACCCCCTTCTATTTCAGGAAGGCCAAAAAAAAGAAATCAGTGCCCAGCATTTGGCCTGCAGGACAAGTTGGAAAATTCAGAGATGGGACCTTGATTCTGCATAGCTGTGACATAAAGAAAATTAAATCATCTAAAGTTATCAAATGAACTTACAACACAGAATGAAATCGACAATAAAAATAACATAGAGTTCGTTTTGCCACCACAACGCATCTACGAATCTTCTTGCCCTCCCACCACATTCTAACTCTTTCAGCTGACTTTTAGTTTCAGGATTTCCCATCTTCCATTGTGCTCTGGTGAGACTATGATTATTTATCTTTTTTCCCTTTTTTAAATAAAAATAAGACTCTTCTGTTAAAGTGCATGTTGACTATTTTTATTAGATAACAAATGCTAAAGAAAGCATTTCACGATTCCTAGAATTAGTTTATCGGCTAGAAGGAAAATATTAATTTAATTCATTAATTTAAATAAATTAATGAAATAAACTACATAGCTCTTTGCTTTCATCTGAAAGGAATATGCAAAAAGCAATACCTTATTGCTCTGAACCTGAAGTAAGTATTCTTAAACACCTATCAGGCATGCATCTATTTCTGTATCTATATGAATTATTAGTAGAACTACACAGCAAAAACCTATCCTGTCCAGCAAAACCTTTTAAGGTATCAAAATTATCTGCTTTGGAATGAAAATGAGGCTTTTTAAAGTTTTGTCCCAGGTAAGAGTTACAGATGCAACTTGCATACGTGTGTAGAGAACTCAAATTTAATTATTTTTTTCAAATGTGTTTTTTAAAAAACAAAAAAAAAGTTGATTAAAGACCTGAGCCAAGTGAGGTGGAGACAGCCAATGGCTACTGGTTGTTCGTCGGTAACTCACAGTTGTTGTGATCGGTGTTCCTATGCTAGACCTGATGAGCCTTTTCTATGAAATCTCTGTCAAATCCATGGCAATTGTTAGCAACTTTGCAAAGCGTCCTTGCTGTTTTACCTCAAGCTAAAGAAACTTCAATATTTTACGAGGAGACAAAAGTAGTGTCAACTGTCAAAAGACAGAGGAAGGTTTCATGCTCTGTTACTTACATGTAAAGTTATCTAGAGCTTGTTTGCACAGCTTTGGCAGTGAAACAAATGTATACGAGACGGCAAATAACCCTCACTAGGGAAACACTTTTTAGGTGTATTAGTGAACTTCAGTTTAGCCAGGAGGGTTTAGGAAGTGCACTTCCTAGCTGCCATCTCAGGGCCTGAATAAGATGACATTTCATCTTAAGCAAGCAGAGAGGTCTGGGTCACCTCGCAGCTAGCAACAAAAACAGCAGCATAATTCCTCTCCCCCAAACAGCTGTATTCTCAGTTTAAGGAAGTATTTTGGGGTGGGGGGCGCTTTCTTACGTGCTCCTTCCCTCATCCCTTCCAGGTTATTTTCAAGGCTTGCCAACAGAGAGAGGACTCTGAGGACTAGGCCAGAATGGAAAGTAGGGCCAGATAAAGAGGGGAAGGGAGTGTTTCTGGAGCCATATGGGGTGGGGGCGGGGAAGCAAATATTGCTGAATATTGTTGTCACATTTCATAATTGCTTAAGTGGATTTCTTCTTATTCAGGATTGGTTGCAAATTCAAACCAGAATTAACAGCCCTGTCTGGTTAGCGAATATGCAGACTAGAGAAATGTCAAATCACTATTGCATATGAAGGTGTAATCACTAAGCTGGATTGAGTACAACGCATCCAAACTTGCTGAGGCAACGTATAGCCTTTGGATGTTACAGTGTAACCTGCATTTTTTAATTCCTAACTAATCCTTGTGCTCACTTTTTCTGTGCTCACTTTTACATAAAGTTTTGTTCATTTGGCTTTGGGTATCATGTGTTGTGGGAGTTATGTCCCTGAATCATCTTGAGTAATTTACAGGGTTCACTTTCCACCTCCGTAGCTTAGAAAAGCTGTTTAGGAGTGAAACTTGGTCAGAATGGAGTGCCTAATCTTTGCAGTTCTAGCCTCAAGCTTTGTAAGCTCTGCTAAAGAATGAGGTTGCAAGAAGATCAGTTTTTAAATTAAAATTGTTCAGAATTTTGTGTTTTTAACACCTATTTAAAATGTGTGTGTATGCATTACAAAAGTTTTCTGCTCTCAGGTGATAGGCTGCTTTTTAACAGCAAACTCCCGTGGTGATTTAAGCTGGCTATGCTACATCCCAGAAGCGTGCTGTTCTCTGTTAAACATGATAGCTTTAATCCAATTTAATTACTAGATTATATATATATATATTTAAAAAAAAAAAAGATAAACACTGCCATTTGGCAAGCCTAACAGTTGAGAACCTTTATGCACCTAATGTTTCTCTGAACTGAAATATGTTATTAACTAGCAGAGTGCAGAGCTTGCTGGCTGAGCATAGTGTTGTGTCACTTCTGGAGCGTGTACTGATATGTGAAAGCCAGTACTGACTGAATAGCTAATGGATTATTGGCAAAGGAGAGCAGGGACCATCTTATTTTGCCTTCCTTCTGCAGCAGGATAGGGGAATGAGGGAGGAAAGGAGACATCTTTGCATTCTTCCCATCTGTTCTCTGTCAGGCCTTTTATACTGTAACAATAAGCTTTGTTCTTGTTTCCCAGTAAGCTAAAGCTATTGTGATTATCCTATTAACAGTCATTTATCAAGGTCACATAGCTTAAGTGAGCTATGTGCCTTTTTCCAGGGGCTGAGTGTGTTACCTCTGTGGCACTGCTCAGTCCCTTCCAAGGCATCTCCTTGATACAGGTGTGCAGCTCCAATATGACAGGTAATTTAACTTTCTCACAAAGTTTTATCATTCCTGCCCCAGACAAGCCTCTGCCTCCACCATCTGGCTTTTACACTTACCTGAAGGCCTTTCCAATCGGATCCTTTGAGTGACGTAATTGCTTTCTGCTTACTCCAGTGTCAGAAACTTCTGGAGACTGGGCAATTACCCAAAGTCTGTAAGACAGGGTGGAACTAAATAACACATCCCAATATACTCTATGACCAACGTAAGCCAGAGATAATGGAGAGGTAGTGAGAGAGATGTTTCATGCCACTGAATCCAGTGCACACGTTAAGCCCAGAGATGGATGATTTCTCTGAGGAAGGCATCTTAGCTTTCTCCAGCTAACAGATTATTTGAGCTATATTAATGAAGCGTGTATCAGCAATTAGGTATGCATCCTGCATGAGTGCCTCATATACATTATGATGTAGTAATAATAAATAGGGTACTGATGCTAAATTTGTTGGCAATGTACTAAGAATTTATTTAGAAACCGTAGAACAGCATAAACTCATATGTCAGGTTTTCCAAAAGGGTAATAATAATACACAAAGTTTTACTCAGACCAAAAGACAAAAGGCATTTTGTTTTCAATTCAAAAAATACAAACTCTTGTCACAGGTACAAAATTATAAAAAGTTGATATTCTCCTCTTGATCTGGTGACAGACACATACAGAAGAGATGTATTTTTCACCAGCTCCAAATTTATATAAGCTATGGGAAATGGTGATAAAGAACAAATGTCGTTGTTAAGAAGAAAACAGAAACAAGTTCTTGTCTTTCATTTAACAAGATGTGAACACCGTTATCTTATTCCTTTGCACTTTTTTTTGGTTGCCAACATTTAAATTAGTGTTACTCATGCTCCATAGAACAAGCAGAAACTAACAGCAGTTCTACCTCATGCATTTATTCTAATATTCATCACAAAATGATTTCTCACCATGCTTTCATTCAACTACTTAGAAAGCCTACTATTTTTATTGACAACATTTAAGGAAGGTGGTGTCAGCCACCAGGATGAAAGAATGCAATCTGGATCTGTAAGTGTGAAAATCAGTACACATGTATCTGCTGACCTACAAGAAAATGTTACAAATCCTCCAACTAATCCACCAATTCACTTTGTGTAGTGCTTGCTTGGATTTGCCTGCAATAACAAAACTGTAACAAAACATCACTTAAGGGGAAAATGCTGCTGAGTACCTATTTCAGTAAAGCACACATCTGTCTTCTGTGTTGTGCAAGGATGCAGAAGCCCTGCGCACTTAATTTTTGTGGCTTGCATGGGCTTCTGCACATAAGAAGATCAAATGTATCTTATTTGTAATGGACTTGTGCTTCAAGCTGCCACTCCAGCCATTTGTGTGTGTGCAGCATTCACTAGTACTGGACAGAGGATTTGCCAGAAATGTTGTCAATAAAAACAAGAGGCAGCTCACTTTTTTAAAAACAAGACTCTCCATCGTTGTTTGGTAATTTCAAGTGATGAGTGCCCTTTACGTTTGTAATGTGTTCGATTTGTTACCATAACCTACTGAAGGACTTGAAATTGTAATCTCCCTTCCAAAGCTGATCTAGCCAGGATATTTGGGTTTTTAAATATTACTTTGCTTGGTTCAAAGGTTAATGATTTGCTTTGCTATTTAAGCAGGATGCTGGAAAGCCGGTTAAGGCCTGAGGTTAGGTCTGACGACTCTGTTTCCTCATCTTTCTGTTTGTGAGCAAAGGATGTACTAGAACGCATCAGAATGTGCCGCTGTTAACAGGTTGTTCGTGCTCTTTATCCCTTCTCACAGGAATAGGTAATATGAGTTGTGGTCCAAAATGCGCCACCTATTGTTAGTAGGTTAGTATTGTTAGTAGTTTTGTGTTAGAAAAACACAAACACAGTGTTTTTCATATAGTGGGAGTGGCAGCACAGCCTTGATCTCTCTCTCTTACCTTGTTCATTAAATATTATTATGTAAGAAAGAAAAAATCTGTGTACCGCATTTCTTCTTGCTCTAGAACTAGGAAACTAGAGTATTAGGTGTTCTCTGCTATCCTTACTTACTACATTTTGAAAAAATAAAATAAAAAATTTATACAGCACTGTGACAGAAATCTATCACCAGCCAAGAACCATCTACAGCAATACACTATAATGGCATTATTTACAACACAATGGAATGTTATGCATATAATAAATTACATTTAATACCTTTCCTCTTAAACTCTGATACATGTAAGCTCATGCTTTTTTATTTTGTGCAGTCCAATATATTTTGCTCTATATATCTTAACTCCACAGGCAAATAAGGGAAGTGATTGTGCTGTTTGCCTGTCTTTTCTTTTAGAAGTCAAATTACTTTCCAAATTCAAGATGCGTCACAGTATCCTACTGTCCTTACTGACATTTATTTTACAGCGTGTACCTTTCAACATCAGCAAAAATAAGGGACTGTCCGCTAGGCCTGTGCTCATATTGACATCAAGTTTTAGTAAGAGATCTTCCTTGTTAGCTCCTTTGAACTAAGGAGGGGGAAAAAATTGTAGTCGAAATGGCATAGCGTTGCCCTCCGTGGGAGGGCTGACAGTGTGCTGGACGGCAGCTTCTCTAATTGGTCCCACTAAACTTAACAGGGAAGTTTGCAGAGGAAGGAGCCAGGAAGAAGGTTCGGAAAGGATAACGTTTGGGGCCACACAGGCAGATGAAAGCTAAAGTCCCTTGTTGCTCTCCAGGCTACAAAGCTTACTTACTGTATTTAGCAGCTGTAGAGACATTTCAAAGCGACATATTCAGGGGTCAAACTTCACTGTTTATTAGGGAAGAGTTTGGTATTTTTAGACATTTTACAGCTATGTCAAGTGGAGTCTGCGCTGTAGTGGACGAGACTCATCCCAGTGCAAAATGCTCTGCTCTCCTGTTTACATGGAACAGTCTGTCCTCTAGGAGCAGAGGAGCCCCATGAAATGCACCTCTGTGCCTGTCCAGGTGTCTGGGCAGCAGGACGAGGAGCTTGGAGTCATGGAGTGCTGCACAAATATCCCAAGAATCAAAAGGAAGTAACAGACATCCAAAGCAGTCCCGTTTGGTATCTATGCTACTCTTCAGACCCCTGGGTTCTTCCTGGACAGTCAGCAACACGGTTTCTGCAAGGGCCATACTACTAAAGGCTGGCTCCCTCCTAAAAAAGGGATTTAGAAGTAACAAAAACTGGCAAAAGAGATGCTGTAGAAAGCTAGATAGGTTTATTTCCCTCCTTTATTTCCTCAAGCCACTGCAGAGCTGGCGCCCCAAAGAAGACCTGGGAAGCAGTAGAGGAGAGAAGCAGAGGAGCGTGTCACTCAGGCACAGTCTCTCTGTATGGACACTGAGATGAAGAACACGCAGACTGGTGGGTTCATAACTAGAAAGACCTTGGGGAGTTACCTGCAGGGAAACCACCACCTCCAGCTGGAGCCGAGGTGAGTGTTCCCCACTTCTCCCACCTGATGCTCTTCTGAAAAGGGAAAATTCTGTGCTGGCCTACGTTCAGATGGGTCTCACGGACATCTGGACATGCCTCGTAAATAGTTGTGCGTGGAGCAATTGGTCTCCTAACATAATTCTAACTACTTAAGCATTTATTACTGTTAACGAGACTGCCAAAATGCACCCAGCTGAAGTCATAGAGAAACTGCACTCTCTTGGGCTAACTTGGTATACTGCTGTGGACTGAATCCAAGTCCTTAAATGTGTACACAACCAACACATGCGCCCACTTTGTTTAGACCTAGGCTAAATCGGTATTACTAATGCAGGATGCCTACTTCTACCTGCCTTCCTTTTATCTGCTTTTCCACTACATTGAAAGGAGACTGTAACGGTAGCTAGTCTCTACCCTATTTTTGTGACTGCTAGAATGTGTAGAGAATAACAAATGAGCTTCCCTGCGTATCTGAAGCATGTTCCTATCTACTGTCCATATTTCTATTAGCACTTAGTAACCTGTATCACTCGCTGCGCTTTCCCAAAGGTACAACACTCTAGGAACTGATACCAAAGCAACTATGAAAACCAAAACCAAGTACCACAAACACTTCTGAAGCACTTCTAAAACCCATTCAGAATTAATTTTAAACATCTGGCAATGGCTGAAGATTGGAAAGTTTTAAGTTCATTTGAATTTTCTTCAGAGAAGTTGGGAGTAAAGACAAAGGTTCAGTCCTTTTACCCAAGACAAACAATACTCCTTTGCTTTTAATACTAAAAGTGGAAGTGGAGTGCCTTCTGGTATTAAAATTATCACAGGATGTTTCCCAATATAAAAAAACTACACGCAATTTATGTACAGTATACCCATACGCTGCTCTGACAGGCAATACTCAAAGCCAATGCTATGATTACAACTTTTATGTTTGTAAAAGACAGTTTTACAATGAGCACACTCAAGAGGAAATTCAGGGTCCAGTAGCATTCTAGCTGAGGTAGGTTAAAACAGACCCACTGAATTAGAAAATCCTGCACAAGTTCATATGGTATCAAATAAAATCAAAAATTAAAACACAGTTGGTCTCTGCTGTTAAGAAATCAAGATGAGTGTAGCATAGTTATTCCAGTGTCTAAAAGTTTACTAGTACAATCCATTTCAGACTTTGAAGAAAGTACAGTTGCTTTCCCACTTAAGCATTTAAGTTATTTTTTCCTTGTTGTTGGCTTTCTTTCCTATGTCAGTCTTGACATCATTGAAGGTGCATTGCTGTTCTGTAGGAGAGGTGGGCTATAAATGATTAGTTAGTTACAGGTAACCTGATCACAGACTACTTTTGGTTTGCGCAACAGTCTGTGACTATTTCATTCTGGGTGGCCTTCTTTTTTGATTCCCTCTCCCCACAATGGCTGAGAGGTGGGATGACACCAGTGAGGATCCTGGCTGCTCTGTCACAGTGAAGCCTTGCCATCACTCAGCACTACCTGAGTGATGTGCTCAAGCTAGAGACAAAAGTGCACCTGCAGCAACGGCCAGCAGGCTGTTCCAGGAGAGGCCTGGGCTGTTTGTCCTGTGGCAGTGGTTTAAGCAAGGCAGGAAGCTTGATTTTGGTTAGAATATTTGTTTTCAGGTTTAATAGTTACTTGTCTAAAAGCACAGGCATGTGTGTGCATACATATGCTTGGAGAGGAAAAGGTATATAAGCAGTAGGATTAGGAAAAAGGAAATAGTACATCAATAGCATGTAAGGGTCTATGATTTTCCTGCTCGACAGCACCACACTTGAGTAGGATTAGACTGGCTAAATCCTAGATATTGTGGACTCTTGCAGCCTCCTGCATCTTGCTTGTACACATTACCGCTGTACACACATGCTCTCACATGTTAATTCGGTTCAGAAGAACAGACACACACAAACAAATCGATGTGTTTTCTGAGAGTAGCATGCAGGTGAAAGTGCCATGGTGATGGGAAGTTCCATGCCAATCAGACTCAAGTTGTCATGGCCAGCACCTGAAACGGTTTCTCATTTTCACCAGAGATGCAAGACACAACCAAGACTCACAAAAGATTTATGTCCCAGTCCAGAAAAATTCGAAAGAATGCATTTAACATTAAGCCTATGAGTCTCTCTTGCTCAAATGCTTCACTAGGAGCAAAACATTATTTAGCTCACCCTAATCTAATAGAAAATTAAGGCTTTTGATCTTGAAGCTACATCGGAACTACAGCTGCCTGGGATCTATCAGGATCAAGGCTAGGAAGCAGCATTCCTCTACATGGAATACTTTGTACCGTATTTAAAGAAATCTTTTATCAATTCAATTCAAAGGCCTCTTCCCTTTTCAAAAGATTCGCTGATAACCACAATCAGACCTTCCATTTGTGACAGTGTCTACAATCATATTTAAATGAGAAACACTAAAATACATTGAGAATACTTTTCTATTTCTTGTATGTGAATTCTGCACATCCCATGGTGCTAGCTAAAATAAGCAAAACTATGAAAGTATTTGGAGAGCAATCTTTTTCTTATTGAAGATAAGTGCAAGTTCTGCCACGGAACTTCTAGGGGAACGTAATCGATAGATTAATACAGTTTAGCACCGGAAGGGGTAATTATGGCCATTTGAGCTCCTCAATATAACGAACAAAGGAATCTTGCCCAGAAATTCTTTCACTGACCTTGCAGCTTCCACTTCAGCTGTCAAAACATATGTTGTCTTGATTAAGGACTTCAGGTGGCAAAAGAATCCCGTTCACCCCCGGTAAATTGTTCCAACAGCTGTTCACTCCCCAGTCTTAGTCTTACACATTTTTCCTGCATTCCTAATATCTTGTTGAGCACAAATCCAGCCAGGAGAGAAAAAATACACTCATTTTACCTTTCACCTCTCTATATATGTATATATATGCACGCACACACACACACACACACATATATATATATAAAAATATACACCCTTGTATGCAATGCAGTGTAGATATTTTCAGGTACCCATTTGTAATCAAGCGCCACTTCTGGGACTATGCTTAGTATGGCTATTAAACTAAAAATGGTGTGGGCTAGCTGTAACCAGCAGCTTACTCAGCGAGCAACACACTGTATAATATTTTAAGTTAGGGAAGAGAATGCTTTTTTACTGACTTACTGAAAAGTGCCAAATCACACTGAGAGAGCTTACAGAATCCAGCGTATGTTCAGGCAGCAGGGGCTTCATTAGTTGCTGGGCAACTTTGGCTGTTTTACACATTGTGGCACCTCCAGTCCTGTGCGTAGAGTCACCTGCACAAAGAAGAAGCAACACTTAGAAACAAAGTGAGAATTGGGACAACCCCAGCAGAAAGCATCTGTGAAGGTTAAGAGCAAGTAAATGACAGGGGAAGGGCTGTGGCACTTCAGATCCGGGCTCAAGTCATCAGAAACATTTATGGAGATGCTACTGAGCCCCTGAATCAACAGCTACCCCTTCCCCTCTCTCTCTTCAATAGCCCATGGTCTAGAAACCAAGTGCCTTCATCTACTTCCAAATCTAGCCACCGGTTGCAAGTCTCCATTAGTGCTGCTTGCTAGCCACAAGGTGGATGGCATCTTTGTATGAAGGACTACGAGTAATTCAAGAAAGGGATCACACAGTGAAGCCCACGTATTCAATACAAGAAAATCCTGTTGTCTTTGCTGTCCTGGCAGGACAGAATACGGTGCATTTTAGTGCTTCTGCTATAACCTGACATCTCCATGAGGCCATGGTTCCCAATATAGACGTGCAAGAGTACCACTTCATAGCAAACATACACTTAAACTAAGATTTTTCCCCTACCCCTTCTCTGCCGCTCTCTGCGTAACCTCTGTGGTGGTTAAAAAAAAATGTAAGCCATGTACTTACAGGTAACCAAAGGAATATAGGTAGTTAAAATTTGAGGTGGGGGGTGAGCAAAAAATCTGTGTTGAAAATAGCAGTGAGATGCCCAGAGAAGTACCTGTGTCTTCCGTGTTCATGCATTAAATAATGCCGTGAGAACTTCCTGAAGTATTTGGATGCTACCAGTAACTGACGCTAAATATTCATATAATAATAATGCCATGTGAAGTTTCTGATTTTGGTCTGTCTGCGTGTTTTAAATGACGACTATTTCTTCCACTCCTGGCTGCATTGGTCCTGCTTGACCTAAGCTGACCTCCTTCAGTCCTCAGGCTCCTGGATGTCTCTGTAGGTAGAGGCCCTGGTTCCCCCTCACGCTGAGTCCTATTTCTAGCTATATGTGGTGATCTTGAAGTAAAAACACATTATATTTAAAGAGGGCTCCTCCAAAGGGAGATCCTCTTGAGAACAGAGAGCAATCTCCAGACTTCATGAAGAACAAGAATGGTATGTTTAAATGGGTCTTCTCTGTGGGATTGATTTTCTCACCTACATTGTCCTTGCTCTGTTTACCACTGTGCTGCTGACATTTCTCTCTTTCCAATGTTAGTCATCACCAAACATGAAATCTAAGAGTATTTAGGATACTCATACTTTTTAGTCAATCTGGCAGAGGAAGCATTAGCACTTTGCTGCTTTCTAAGTGGAGAGTTGCAGCAACGTGAGTATAGAAATTAATGTGTGTGTATATGTACTTTTTCTTGTTTTTACAGCATTATTCCTCACAACTCGGAGGCGAGACAGAATGTTAAATACAGTTTTCAAAAAAGTGTTAGTAGCCCAGATGTGCATCTGGGAAGGATGAGCTCATATCCATAGTGACTGCCTACAAATGATATTATCAGGCACAGCAGTAGCGGTGAGTTAGCATACGTTTTCCTTTAGATGAGCAAGATAAGTCAAACTGAGCTACAGAAGACTTACCTGGACATTTCGATTGAGGCTTAATGCAGGCATGAAGACACCCTCAACATTTTCAAATGCTGGAGGCCCTTGCTGCTGCCCATTTATGTAAAAGGTCAGGTTGTGCTTGTTCAGATCCAAGAGCACACCAACAGTGGCACCTTTAGAAACTCCCCCTTCGGTCCTAAGAAATATAAAATGAGCACCTTGTTGGTTTAATGAAGGCAGAGTGCTACACTGCAGCTGCTCTCTCCATGACAAAGCAGCCTTACTAAAGCAAAGGAAAAATGGAGCAACACAGTGAAATGATTATTCCCACAGTATTTGGCAATGGCTAAACCACAGCTTTTTCTGAAGTACAGGCACCACATTCATCAGAGCTTAACTAGGGTATTTGAAAGAGAAATTAGGTCCATCTCATCTCCAGTTGCTAGCTAAGAGCTGAAAATGATGTCCAAAACTAACAGATCCCATAGGCTGACTACAGATGGGCAGATATGCAGATGATTTCAGCGCTAAGCAAGCAGGACAGGAGTCTGGAAACACGGCTCCTCAGAATGTCCCTGCGAGAGTGGAGTGATGCCCTGCAGAGAATGAAAAAGCAGACAGCTTGTTTCCCAGGCATTCATTCTTAAGTAATATTTCTGCTAACAGCCCCAGACTCAGACTGCCTGTTTGAAGTACTCATCTTGAAATTCCCTAAAAAGACCTAATTTTTCAGAGGCCACAGAGCCAGCACAGGTGTACCAGATACTGGTTTAGGGGAGGAAGGGAAGGTGGGACTGGCTAGAGGTAAGTGTAGCTCCATGACTGACAAGGTATCCAGTTGTTGGACTGAGAGTTGTTTCAAGTGTTGGGGCGCTATTGTTAATCTTAGTCATAATTGGTTGTGTCAGGAGCAGCTGCTGAGAGCTACCACTGTATCAGAGCTTGCCATGACACATTCAGCCAGCTATTACATGCATGAATAATTTGACATTAATGCACGTTCCTTTGGGGGTTAGTCAAACCTAGCATTTAAAAAGCACTGAGCAAGAAATTTGCTAGATACGCAGATTGGCCACAGGCTCTGGTACTTTGCAAATATCGTGGGGGCTCTGCAGCGGAATTACAACCTGACATGATTTGTTCAGGGTAAATTAGATTTTAAATAATTTGCAGAAGGAGAGGAAGCAACCCTCTTTTGTCCTATGCCCTCTCCTGAGGCACACATAATTCACAAGATAAATGCAATTTTAACACAACATTTATCAGAATGGGTAGGAATAGATCAAAACATCAAGAAAAAAAAAAACGGGGAAAAAAATCAAAATCCTCTCAGGAATATAGTGTATAGTAAGGAATTTTCATCTTGTCCACTAGGTGGCACAAACTGGTTTCCTTTAGACTAATTTACGTGCCACATGCCATGTCCTCCGAGGTTAAAGACAGTTTTACCTGTGAAGGTGAGGAATGTAGTATTCTGACTTCTGCATTTCAAGCTCTTCAAAGACTAACAATATGGCTGCGAATCATGAATTTGGCCCTCAGATCTGTTAGATTTAAGCCTGTACAGTTCTGAGGTCCCTTTTATTTGCTTTCTAGTACCATAAGCATGAATAGGTTTGCCTTTGAGCTCTTCTCCAAAACCATAAAGCGTATTATTTTTCAACAGAAGTTGAGATGCTTACCTAACCTCAGCATCCGTTTTAGTTTGTTTTTATTAAAAACACTCAATAATATCATAAAACTCATGATGATATTGTGGGAAGTGGCAGTTTTACGATCTAGAGCCATTTATAAATGGTTATGTTATTTTTTCCCTGTTTAGGAACAACCTTGATTGTAGTTCCCCAGGCTTTATATCCTGCCGTGTTTTAAGACAGATTTTATGGCATCTTTTTAAATGACATTGATTCTCTCGGGGAACAAAAACGGCTTACTTTGCCTTTTTGAGGTTATTATGCTCTTTCCCATATAGTAAACTACTTCCTGAGGGCTAATTAGCTGTGTGCTAAACGATGACACTGGATGACGGTTCTTTGCAGCCGCCGGGGGGGAAGCCTGGCTCATTCTGCTTGCGGAGCCGAGCGGAGCTGAGCAGGCGGGACAGCATGACCCAGCTGAGGCCTCTCCAGGATCCCGAGGGGAGCACGGGCAGAGCAGAGGAACGGGGTCTCCTTCGCTTCTCTGCCGCAACTCTTGCAGGACTCAAGCAGGTAAATCTTCACCTCCACCTTGCCACAGTGAACAAGTTCTGACAGAGTACAGCCCGGGGCAAAGGCACGGGGGTGATACTTGGCCACGCTGCCAGAGGGGAGGCTGGACCTTTCCTGAGGCTGAACAGCTGCTCTGCTTGGGCTTCCCATGAGTTCCCTGGGCTACATGAAGAGACTCAAAGTAATGCTCTCTCCTGACACACTTCTGTGGCAGTGCACAAAAGAACTGCTGCTTTACTGTAATGCATGTTTAAACTACTTAAAACAGTCACACTACAGGCTCATAATCTGCAGGCCATACAAAAGGAAAATTTTTTTGTTACAGTATTTCTTCAATAAATGCCTAGCATTTATTAAATGACAATCACTTTTTGCAGATATGCAGTACTCCTTCATCATTTCAAGTAAATCCCAATTCTCACACCTCTTTTCACACAGTCCTGCAAGTACTTATTTATTTCTGCGTATAACACTAAGTGCTGGGTGCTGACTGTGCACAAAGGCTGTGAGTAAGCCTGGAAGGTCTGAGGAATAATGAAGGAATTTGGCTACCATGAAAACTGACTGTTGCAGTGGAGTCTGTTATTTTAAGTATGCTTTCAGCAGCAGTTCAGAAAATTTGCAAAAGAGGATGGAATGCATTCACTTTATGAATAGAGAACAGCAATAAGTTTCCCTATTATCAAAAAATAAATCTCAACAATTTATGAATACTGTTTAATAAACCAAAGAATTAGTTCAATTCCACATTAACCGTACTTTTCAGTCAATTATAATATTTTTGTTTGATCAATGCCTGCTCTAAAGACCTTTGAAGTCAGCAGAGACTCCTCCTGATTGCAGTGGGCTTTTAGATGACACTCCAAATTCTCTAGATTTTTTTACTTCTCCCACTGGACTGCTAATCACTGTATTTCAGTATAAAAGATTTTTGTGTGATTTCTGTCTCTTTCTTTATATAACCATGTCGTGGCTAGAATATCACCTATAGTACAAGGTACTCCTGCTTTTGGGAACTTTGCCAAGGAACAGATCCATTGCAATGAATGCTAGTTCCTCTAGGCAATGGGCATACATCTGTGGGGTGAATTCATAATTCCAAAAACAACAAGACTGAAAGGTACCTCCGTAATCTACATCCCTGCTCTAAAGCATATTCTTAACTGATGTTTGCCCAACCCATTCTAAAGGTCTCCCTTGTTTTTGCTAGCCTTAGTTTCTTCTGTTCATGCCTATTCTTCTGGCAGTATAAAACTCAAGCCTAACCTGCCAGTTTTAAAGAATCTACATGAGTCCAGTTTCTCAAGCTAAGAGCCAAAAGAACAGGAAAGTACTCTCAGCTTGGCAGGTTCCATGACCAGGCCCTTTAAGCTCCATCTCTGCTCATCCTTGAAGCCGTTCATTTATGTATTGCCCTAGTTTATTCTCATAAAGATTCATAAGGATGCAATGATTACTATGAAATAGCCTCCATCACAATAACATCTGAGAGGCTAACAGCTGACGATATATCTTCTTTGGATGGTGATACTGTGCTGTCATGTACTCGTCTCCAGTGGGGAACAGTAAGCAGGCAGCAACAACTGTTTCCACAAGACTGCTACACCTGAGTTAACAAATTGACCTACTTGATTGTCACGGTTAAAAATATAACGCCTAGACCTAAATTCATTGAAGCGCATGCGGTTTCATGAGAATACGTGCCCTTCGTAAGTGCACTTCACTTGAAAGAACATTCCACTGGTCCCTCCATTTTTTGCACGTGCCTGTAAAAGCTCTGTGTTTGATTTAGTAAAAACTGGGAAACTGTCATCAGCAGAAACTACTTTGTCCTCCTGTTTAGGCAAAATGGTTGGAAATCTAAAGTGTTTCCATTGTTTGTGTTTCCCAGAAAAAATGCTTTTGCTTAGCTGTTGTGTTGCTTGCCTGAAGGACTATGCCTAGGACCAAATCCATAAAATAGGTTTCTGGGACAGTAGCACACAGAATGTTTGCCAGCATTTTTCCAGAAAACATAAGCTGTTTCACAGAGCATTAAAATTAATACAGCTTAACATTACTTCTGCCCTAAATCTAATCAAGATGTTAAAGGGACAGAGAACCTTTTCATAAATTTATCGTACTCATGTTATTTTACTCTATACTGATTTAGGACATGACCTAAGGCCTCTGGAGTCAGATAGCTTTGGATCCAGCTACAAAGTTCTTCCCCCTGTCTATAATGAACTGCAAGTCAAAATGACTATAAAAGTCAAAAACAGGAAGTTCCATCTGAACCTGAGAAAAAACTTCTTCACTGGGAGGGTGACAGAGCACTGGAACAGGTTGCCCAGAGAGGCTGTGGAGTCTCCTTCGCTGGAGATATTCAAAACCCGTCTGGACGCGATCCTGGGCAATATGCTCTAGAGGACCCTGCTTGAGCAGGGAGGTTGGACTAGATGATCTCCAGAAACGATTCTGTGCTTCTGTGATTCTGTAAAATATCCCAAACTACTTGTTTGTTGTTTCATGTTTATCACTTGTAATGCTGTTTAAGTAACAGAATAAAGAATGAGCTATAAATTGGAGCAATGAAAGACTGGCAGATGGCACCCACTGCCCCTGGAACCCTTTTGTTTTCAGAAGTATCTCACTGCTGCAGCTGCAGTATACCTACTTCAAATACAAATATGTTTTAGAGTATAAATGACTGTATTCAACAAGAGCCATTGCAATTAGCTTTAGGGCACAGCGAATGTTGGCATGAACTTATCTCTTTAAGGAGATAATACAAACATTCAAGTATTTTCAGAATCACTGCAAGCCTCTCTTTTAATCAGTTGGTATTACACAAAGAACATCTGAGCTAATGGGTGGGGAAGACCTGCTAGGGCAGTCAGTAGAAAACTAAATTGAATTTGATTCATGCTCTGCCACAGATCGGCTATATGTGCTTGGTCAGTCACTTTATCTGTACATCAATTTCCCATCATGATAGAACAGGCATACAAACACTTTGATCATTTTCCAAAATACGTATGGGACTTAGGATCCTATATCACACTCCTCAGCCGAGATCTTTTTAATGGTCTTGGTTCCCTTAGTACTCAGCTGACCTTCAGCTGGGGCCTGACTCTCTTGTGGGAAACTGACAGAGAGCAGTGCAGCTCTCTCTGCACTGCTGATACACCCCAGAGAGCTTCAAGTGAGGCTGAGTGTGTCTCCCTACACAGTGTAGCATCATGTCAAAGAAACCACAGCCAGCGCTAGGCAGAGTGCTACCGCGAGCGCTGAAAGCCGTGCAACCATGTCAGTATGATATTCACCCTGCTCTAATATGTATTGTCTCTATGTGATCCGGCCCTGGAGCTCCTGGTTTAGCCCCAGCTATAAGACCTCTTCCCACTATTCTGCCGCACGGAGCACATAGATCCACTGATCTCATGAGAGAAAGACAGTTTTGGTAATGACAGCTAAAGGGCATTCTCAAATCCTTCTTTTATAGATTGGCTGTACTTTTTGAGACACTTTCCAAAGCTCTTCAATACAATGGCTCAATTGGACAGAAGCTGTCACTTAGTCCTCAGTGGGAAAGATTCCCTTGTGTCCAAATCATGCTAGGTATAACCTATCGTGTTACATTTAATTAGCTTTCGGGACTGGTAAAAAAAAAAAAACCTATGTTTTTTTTAAGACAGGAAATCACCAGTGTGCTTGCCTAATTATTATGCAACCCTGCAGCCAAAAATCCTTCTAGAGAAGACAATCAATCACCTTTCTGCTCGCACTCCTCCGGCAACGGAAGAGCAATCCAGCATCTCAGACTGTGTTGTGCCCTTGTCTACTGATACTGTGGGTGGGACACACAGTAACTGGCTTAAATCACAGCAGGGGAGATTTAGGCTAGATCTCAGGAGAAACCTGCTAACAGTGAGGATAAGAAACACCAACACAGAATGCTCTGGAAGATAATGATGTTGCTGTCACTGGTGAATTTTAAAAACAGTTGAGACAGACTGCTGTCATGAATAAAACAGGTATAATTAGAAGGGAGGTGGACTTCCTGAGATCCCTTCCTCTGCTGCAAAGTGGAAAAAACAATCAATAATAAGAAAGGTGCGCAGATAGTGCTTACCGATTAGTGTGAGAATTGCAATGCATAAACCAGCTGCGGTTGTTGTCAACGTACATGGCCCATGCTTTGTCGTCCTTGCCTAGCATCATGTCCTTGGCTACATTAATCCTGGCAATACCAAAAGCTGGATCTGGATGGTTATCATAGCGGTCCACATGCAGTTCCCAGTAATGCACTCCCTTGGAGAAGGCTGCTGTGCCGAGAACAACTCGGTCATCGTAACTACTGCAGGTGGCCGTCTGGTTGTCATTTGACAGCACTATGTCTCTGTGCGCTGAGGAGGGGTCAAAGCTGAACCATGCCACTGAGCAGGAAAAAAAAAAGAAAGGCAGCATTAGGGCAGAATGGACTGCGTTGAAGTGTCATCTGCTTTACTGCAATTAGGAGAATAAGACTCCACCTTCCTAAAGCCCCCATTGCACCTTTGGGTAACAAAGACAATCTTTCCTTGTTACTGTAGGCAGTTACACAAGATTGCTTTGCGCATGCACCCAGCTGCTTTTCAGCTCAGAAGTGACCGCTGGTTACTAAGAGAGGAAGGAACGAATGCTTCATACCATCTGCATAGCCTATGAAAATTTGAAAGATATTTTTCAGTTCGTTTAGCTTAAAGGTGCTGTGGAAGTGTAAATTACTCATGTGCCTTATATTATCTGTGCTTATCTCTTAGAATGCGAGCTTCTAAGAGCAGAGACTTTGTTCTCACACGGTAATAACAGGCACTGAGGAGACCAAGGCTTCTCCACAGTACAGAAACTGCTCCACAGGCTTCTCCACAGTACAGAAACTGCTCACATAAGTAAATTCAGGTTGCCTTTAATGGAAATGGAGTTCCAGTGTGTCCATGTTGGTTAGAACTGATTTCACTAGCTTATCAAAGGAAAAAAACAAAAACGAGAAAAAGCTCTTAAAGTATAAATATTTTATATTGGCCTATTTTGGCAATACAGCATAAAAGTAGAAGTGATTACTCCCAGCATGTGCTCCTGGATTCGTTACAATATCATTAACGAAGATGAACTTCTTGTAATGCTCTTACGGATGTCAAGTATAATTACACAGGAACATGCATGAATTCCCTTCCCTGTCTTACCAAACCTTACTGTGAAATTGCATCAGTACTGAAGAAAAACACAAGCGCCAAAGAGATGATGGAGAAGTGGAGACAGGGAGTGGCATACAAATATACTCAGTGTGTTGCATAACTGCTTCTTTACGCTAAAACAAATCAGAATCTTTAATTAAACCCGAAACCTCTACAACCAAATAAAATTGCATGATTTGAAACCTGAAGTGTTATTGACAACACAAAATCCCCAAAAGCCTAAAGAAATGGACTAGTTTAATTTTATAGTTAGTGAATTTAGAGCTGAATTGTTCCCCTGAGATGCTGCAGGTTTGATCTTCAGCCCTAGTGCACTACAACAGCCAACTGAATACACCAACAGCTGCTTTCAGGCATTGACTTCTGCGTATACACTTGGCAGAATAGATCACCTGTATGTGCATTAGATCCAATTAGCACTGGAAAAGTGTGCACACAGAAAGATGCATGCAGGTGGAGGGTCGTGCTATGCAATCCTCTGGTTTATACAAAGAAGGGACAGCAGGGACAGCAGCAGCATAGCCCTGCCTTACTGCTCTGCCTTCTTCAGCTCTGACCCCCAGGTTCATGCTAGGAGGGGAGCTCAGTCTGTGCATGCCCAGTCCCTGACCCCTCCACTGAGCCGATCCAAAATCTCTATGCTTCTTAGTGCCAAATATATTAGTGGATATAATGGGAAGCAAGTATCCTGCCACTGAGGCCTGCAGCTTTTTATTTAGAAATGGTCAAAAAAGAAACCTCACCATCCGATGTCTGTAAAACAACTGTCTTGCTGTAAGGACCAACTCCTGATGAATTAAAAGCTTTGACTCTTGCATTATAGGTACTGTTGAAATGAAGGCCATCAATAGTACAGAGAGTCTCCTTGCCAACATATACTTCCTAAGCATTGCAAAAAAAAAAAAAAGAGAGCGAGAGAGAGAGAGAGCGAGAGAGAGAGAGAGGGGAACACAGTTTAACTATTTATTCACTATCACAGTGTTTCTATTATTTACCTCATGATCACACAGTAAGACTTTTAAATATAAACTACATGTAAAAAGCTTCTCATTGCTTCAGAGACTGTAGAGTTTATGCTCTTAAAACATGGACAACTACAGCAGAGGAGACATCAAGGAAAATCAGCAGTGGACAAAGTAAGATAAAGCTGGGAGGGTACATCAGTAAAGAGCAACACAGAAAAAATTTTGTACTGTTTTCCTAAACACCTACTCTGAAATACTATCTTGGACAGTAGTCCCAGGGTTTGACCCACCATGGCCATTCTTATATATATTAATGTAGGGCAAAAACAAAAAGTTTTTGTCAGGTGGAAGAATGAAAAACAAAGTAAGCATAGTTTTATTCTGTTAGAAAGGTTGTCTCATGCTTTCGTTAAAATATAATTTTGAAACTTGTAACTAAAGAGCTGAAAGAAGTCAAACTGCTGAAGATTAGGAACACATGCATCACATGATAAAACAGCGGCTAACGCAGAGACATCATAAATGTCTGAAATGATGTTTAAAAGAGCAAGCACTTGTATAATGTGAAATACTTCAGGAGGAAAATCTAAGCCTTTCCACCTCTGATTTCTCTGCTTCTGTGAAATCCGTTAACTAAAGAGTTTCTAAAGAGTTTAAGACTGTGACTAAGCAGACCACTTAAGCCCCAAATCAGTAAGACACTTAAGTATACGCCCAGGAGCAGTCCTGCCTATCTTTGCTATGAACCTATAGAGAATTATGTGATGAATAAGAAAGGGATTACTTAAGTTTACAACAGGGCATGTGTTTGGCCACGTGGCTACAGTGGCACTAGCTACAAGTAGCAAAGTTTTTTGGGCCCTGAGTTAGCCTATGATCTTTCATGGAGAGAGAGAAGAGTTTTAACAGAGCACTTTAATTTATCTCCATATTATAAAATATACAATCTCAGTGAAAAGTTACATTTGTTAGACAACTCTCACATCTAGATCATAATCCTAGAGCTTTAAGGACTGAGATCATTTCATGTCTTTCCAATACAAAATCTTGACACAAAAGCATTGGCAGTCCTGAAACCTTTGCCACATATAAAATGCCACACACAAATGGAACAAGATGCACCCTCACCTTGGATACGCACCAGCCTGAAATCTTGTTTATTCACAGGTATTTATTTAGATGTGAGTAACACTTGAAAAGGCTTATCCAAGACACTCAGATTCATAACACCTCATCCATAACATCTCATTCATAACACACCGATAACATGTTTACCTAGTAATAGTAACTGTATCAGCAGCTCTCAGCCGGTCATTCACAGAAATGCCTTTTCACCCTTTCAGTCGTGGAGGCCAGCCTCTTTAAACACAGGTGAAACAGTACTTGGACCAAGGAATCAAGGAGATGTTCCAAAAACCCAGTGCCCTCCGCAAAACACCTCTCTCTCTTCTAATGAGGGGCATCCAAATCTACCTTTATGTATCTACGGATGTAGCAGCTTGGCACAGGGAAGCAGTGGCCCAGATGGAACAATACCACGCCATTTTCAGCTTTAGAAGCCTTCAGGTACTAGAGACCTTAGGTTTCCAGTGAGAAGCCAGTTTGCAGCTCCTGAAGAAATGGCATCACATATTCTTGGCAAAAATTCCCATTTGTGAAGAGAGCTGCTGTACCTGCAACGACCTCCAAATGGTTTCAAGGCATTCTGCCCTAGGGAATGCATTGGGCTAGTCCGATCCTGAAGTAATAAAAGCATGAACAACAGCAGCAAGTCTGCCTCTGGAGGAAAGGCCACAGTTTCCAGCAGGACAGACATGGCTGGCTTAAAGCCAATTGAATTATTTCTATAATTTGTTATCAGCATGTGGGGGGAGGGGGCAAGAGCTTAGAGGTATCCCACATGTGCAAGCATGAGTAAGTAGTTGTGGCATATAAGGTCTGGCAGGACAGCAGTTGGGATACTTTCCCATACTTACCAACACCATCGCAGCCATGTCAGAGGAAAGCTTCTGTTAGCCTGGTCTCGCCCACACCCAGAGAAAAGAATTAAAATTTGATATTTTAATGCAGGATCCACTTTTTACTCAGAAAACCAGAACAATTTTAATTGCATTTCTTGACCAAGAAGCTCAGCTGTTGGAACGGGAATGCTAGAGTACGAGCTTCAAAGAAATTTCTGATTTGTGGAATGCAATACTTCCACCTCCTGTAGATAGTATGAATTTTCTCCTCTGGTATGCTCCATGTGGGTCACATATTAAATATGGTAGTGACCTGAAATTCCAACTCAACAAGGCCCTCTTTGCCAGAGCCTGAAGAAAAACTTCAATCAATCAGACTTCCTACCCAAGCCAGGGATTCCTCTGAAGAGCAGACTCTGCACCCAGGGCTTTCTAGATCTATGCAACAGAAGCAAGGACGCTTTGGCAAATCGTATCTATCTTCCCTACTTCCTATTCCCCCCCTCAGACAGACACAAATCCATATCCTGAGGAAACTTCAATACAAAGAAACACAAATAAATGCTGAATGAAATTCTCACTCGGAATTGGCCGCCATCTCCATCATCAAGTTCCAAGATATAACCCTCCACTGGGTTGTGGCTCAAAGGTGGCATCCTCCAGGCCAATGTCACACTGTTGTTTCGGGTGCAACACTTCTCCAGCTGCAGTAACGGGACGGGTGGCACTGTAATAGGAACTGAGTACAGATTAGTGTAACTCTGCCCTAACCCCTTCGTCTGTGCTGTGAGCAATATGACGACTGGTCACTTCCCTACTCGCACAGGGGAGGCAATATTAGTTAGGAATAGGGCTGGCAACAAAATGGTTCCTTTCTCGTCATTAAAACAAAACCCAGTAAAAATGTTGTTCTTTGGTTGGGCAAATAATCTGGCTGAAATAGAGATATTTAGGCTGAAACATTTTTATTTGGAAGTACTTCTGCGGTACCTCATAACAGCTACCGCTTGGGAGTCTCACATCTGGTTTCCTTTCTAGGGGTCACTGGCTGGAAGAGTTTTTTCCCGTGCTACAGCAGTTTTGCCCCTTTCTCTCCAAGAGGAGAGAGGGAACAGCAAACAGCAGAGGAAAGGAGGGGTGTCTCAGACTGTGGAGCCACGTGGGAGATGCCGTGCTGTCAGGAAGCCCCGCTCACAAAGAATGGGGATATTAAGCATCAGAACAGCCACTCCTTTAAGCGCTGTGGTGAGCCAAAGGTTGAATTCTACTGAAAGGAGAAAAACAATTTTTCGCAATAATGTTTTTAATCTAATCTAAAATCCCCAGTTTTTTCATCAAAATCAGCTGGGATAGAAGTTATTCTTATGGCAGCCATACTTAAAAGAAACTGTTAAAGAAAGTAGTTCCAGTTGCAGCTTTTATCTAAATGGCTTGGTTCAGATAGTAAGAGGAACTTCAGCATCACAGCAGACTGCTTTTGGCTCCATTCGTTTGGAAATTACAGGTGTGAAGTTACCTCCAGGCATGCTTTTTTATTGAGTGGCCCAGGATAAACACCAAAAGACTGTTAACCAGACCAACACCTCAAAAATAAAAATAAACAGAGTAAAATATTCAGTTATGCCTCTATGGAGAAAGAGCCCTCCGCTACACTTTCTGTACTAGACCAAACTAAATTCTCACTGTTCTCCCTTCACTGGAAATTATAAAGTGACATTTCAGTCGTCTGGAGATGACTGGCATGTAACTTACGTACCATTGAAATCTCAGAGGTTAAGGGGATATAAGTGATGCACAGGCCCTAGCCTGGTCTTCTGCCCAAGGCTGAATTTCATCATTCAGGATCATTTCTGCAAAATTCCATGGTCTCGCAAGGGGCTAAGTGCTCTGAGCGAGCATTCACTGACTTAGCTCTTAAAAATGTCAATTTGCTCTTCTTTTACCTACTCCACTCCGAGCATCTAGTTTATTTTCCATGTTCCATCCGTGCAAGAGCAAGTCCTTGAGCTGTTCTTTGGTCCTGCTCTATTTCTTTGTACAAAACGGACTGATTACGTTTTGTGTAACAAGTACTCTATGGGAAAATGGTTACTACTGTGTCAGAGGCTAAATCTTCACCTCATTTTGGAAGTGACGTAAAAGTCAATCATCATACTTGTGATAAACAACAGAGAAGCTACTGTGGCCTTCTGTCGGCATTACTCACCGCTGCACTGAACTGAGATGGTTAGTAGCCCAGAAGTAGTGTGCCATGAAAGAAAAGAGCTTTATAAATAAGCTCTTGAAGGTTTTTCTGCAAAAAGAGAAGAAAAGCCTTCTTGCTTTTCCTTCATCTTTAAGGACGATTCAGAGGGTATGATAAATAAAAATCTGCTTGTTTTTTCACATGAAGAGCTCGGGCCTTGCTCTCTCTAGAAGGCACTGTGTCTAGAGAAGTAGCAGAAATTTTACCTTATAAGAGTCAAAAAACTGAACGTGAGGAATTAAGAGGTAATGAGAAGTTTAAATGAAACATTTTAAATTGGAGGTTTTGTTTGTGTTTGTTAGTATGTATAATTTAAGTGATTAATTAATCTTGGAGAAGATACGGCTGCGTCAGTCATCCACACTCCTGCCACTTTAATAAAGCTGTTAAGGCTCTCAGGACGCATTCACTAGGTCTTCTCTGCTTCTGAGACTCCCTCTGCAAAACTAGATGAAGACCTAATTCTTGAAATTTATAAAGTGCAAAATAATCAACACTCCCACGTCCTCAATAAGATACCAAAATTCCACCTCTCCAACTCCCTGCCAAAAGCTCTTGGGAATACTGAAGGGAAGTTTTTAGGGATTGTTCACACAAGGCAAAAAGGTAAAAAAAAAAAAAAGAGCAGAATTGTTGGGCAAGGGTAACTTGTTTGT